CTATGAGTCAGGGTCGACTCGATGGCGCATAACAACAACAACAACAACAGGAATGTATAACTATGAGGGGCATGGGGCAGGGTTACTGAGCAGGGAGGGGAGGAGACTGGTTAGGGTTGGGGATGGTAAATGGGGAGTGAAATAAATTTACATGAAATGTTCAATGTAAAACAAACTCTGCTCTGTAACTTGCACCTAAAGCACAATTAAAAAATAAATAAATAGGACATCCCTGGACTCCTTCCCCAAAGAATCTATTCCTTTGAACCAGTGGTAGATTTTTTCTTAAATCCTAAAATTGTAAAAATACAAAAAGAAAATACCATAAAGAAAATATGTCTATAATCCCACAACCCAGATAATCCTGCTAACATTTAAAAGCATAAAAGTAACAAATGGACATGGTTAGAATATGCAAACAGAACAGAAAAGAACAAAATGAAAACCTGGAGACTCCTTTCCCCCATCCTCAAGTCTCTCTTTCCAAAGGTAACCACTGATCACAGATAATAATTTTAAAAAAAGAAATAGAAAAACCAAACCCACTGCCACTGAGTTGATTCCAACTCACAGCAGTCCTACAGGACAGAGCAGAACTGTTCCATAGGGTTTCCAAGGCTATAAGTCTTTATGGAAGCAAAATGCCTCATCTTTATCCTGTGGAGCAGCTGGTGGGTTCAAACTACCAACCTACTGACTATTTTTAATTCAGCAAGGAGTCATAGTAAAATTGTCCCTGTAGTCATTGTATTGAGAGTCATGATCTTACTCATCTTTGAGAGTCTAACACTAAACATACTGTCTGGTGGGCATGTATTTCAACTCCATCTGACACTCAATAATACAGGTGGCTTCACAATAAATTGGGCACTAATCCATTTATCATCTTTAGAAGGTAACTAAGCTTATTTCTGTTTTCCACTAGCAACTCCATGTTCTTAAGAAATCATCTTAGAAGAGCCATGGAAAACTACTGTGGAAAAGGTTATTCATCAGAAAATATATCCCAATTACACAACTCTATAAAGTGATGATTAAAAAAAATACCACTAACTAACTACTGTACAGTGTTACAACACACATAAAGTATTTGCATCTACCACAAAATTAAGATCACAAAGAAAATCAGTTACGACAAAAGATATTCTCTCTTCCATCTCCATTTGAAGGAGCTCTAGTAGCATAGTGCCTAAGGCACTTGACTGCTAACCAGAAGGTTGGCGGTTTAAACCCACTAGCCACTCCTTGGAAGGAAGATAGGGCAATCTACTTCCATGGTGATACTGCCTCGGAAACCCAAGGAGGGGTCGCTATGAGTCGGGTCTGACTTGACAGAACATAACAACAAACAGCAAATCTCCATTTGATTCTTCTTAAAAATATCAATATTAATGGTGCAGAAACTCCAACTTTAAGAGTTCGAGTGGTTAAATAATGGTGTTCCTATTTAAATATCACTAAAAAGGGAACAGAGTTTGGGTTTTTATTTCCCAATTATTCTGTTAGCTGAAATAATGTAGCAAAACAGATTTTTAACATTTTAATCCTTCTGCTCCTTGAAGACATGATGTGTCCTGCTTGTTTCCTAAGCCAAGGACGTTAGGAGTCTAAGGTCGGGTAAATAAAATCTGCCTCTTCTTCCCCTACAGAGACTGATGTGGTTCCATGTAGTTCCCAAGGGAATAAGTCCAAACCAACACACTAGGCTGATCCCAATTAATCTAAGTCCTATAGGAACCTCCCTCTTCACAAAGTACTAGGGGATTTTATTTATTTATTTATTTTAATAGCAGTGATGAAGTTGATTACAAAAATAATTTCAGGCCTACAGTAAGAGTGAGTGAAGGAAGTAGTTGTGTGAAATACAAGGCTCCCCACCAAGCAACTGATGACAGTGGTCAAAAGAGGAAGCCAATGACTAGGTGGGGCAAGGTTTTATGGGGTTGTCTTTATCAGTCCTGAAAATGGACGTGTCCTCAAAGCTCTTTTCCTCTTCTTTGCCACCCTACCCACCACCACACCTTCAATAAATCACTGCTGTGGAGAGAGTTTTCAGGCTTTTCTAGGACTGTCTACCATCTGGCTCCCTTCTTCTCATGCTCATCTTCTGCCTCTTTCTCCTCTAACCCCAGAATACAGCCTTTCTAAACTACAGGAAACTCCCTGACACATTATGTCATGTCCGGTCTCTGGATCGGTGCATGTTGTTTGTTCCTTCTACGTAGAATACCTTTCCTTACCCTGCCTGTCCTTTAAGACTCAGTTCAAATGTCAACACTGTGAACCTTCCCTGAAGCTCATTGTTCTTCTTGTTGTTATTATGTGCTGTCGAGTCAGACCCAACTCATAGCGACCTCTTCTTGGGTTTCCAAGGCAGTATCACTACGGAAGTAGATTGCCCCATCTTTCTTCTGAGGAGTGGCTGGTGGGTTTGAACCACCAGCCTTCTTGTTAGCAGTCAAGTGCCTTAGGCACTAAGCTACCAGAGCTCCCGGAAGCTCATAGGTTGAGCTATTATTCCTTTGCATCTTTGTGCTCCTATGTTACTTTGCAGTCTAACTTTAGTACAGTATTCATCATACTGAATGACATTGATTTTTTTCTGTAAATGTTTGCATCCTCAACAGAAATTTTCAAAATGCAAGCAAACTGGCTGACATGGGTAGCAGTCATTATATAAGCTGAATGTCTCCCAAAGACCAGAAATTACCTAATTCTGGGCAATGTCTCTTCCAATTGCTTGTGACTAGAAAGAACTTTTAGATCTCCTCAAGAGAAGTGGAGCCTGAAGTATGAATGGGATACCTAAGGGCCTGAGGACAAACCAAAACCAAACTTACTGCCGTTGAGTCCCATCCGACTCACAGCAACCCCTCCTTGGGTTTCTGAGGCAGTATCACTACGGAAGAAAATTGCCCCATCTTCCTTCTGAGGAGTGGCTGGTGCGTTTGAATGACCAGCCTTCTGGTTAGAGGTCAAATGCCTTAGGCACTACGCCCACAAGGTCTGAGGACATTCACTTTAAAAACCAGTACTTAGCACAATTCCCATCAAAGGTTAGAACCCAGGAGGCCTGATCTCACACTTTTCAGACACCACATGCCAGAGGTCCCTGCAAACCATCTACTGAAGAATGTAATAGGATTACTTCTCTCACGATATCAGTCTCCACTGCGAAAAATATCATTAGTGCTCATAAAATTATCCAGCCCCATATTTAATCCACCCATAGCATTTGCCTCCGTAACCTCCCATGGCAATGAATTATATAAGCGACTATCTCCTTTTATTAGCACTTAATTTGCTACTCTTTAATTTCATCAAATAACCCTTGTGCTCTTACTATGGATCTAGGGGGAAAAAAAGGGCTGATGGGCCTTTATTATATCCTTCATAATTTTTAACATTTTATTCAAGTACCCTTTAGCTTCTCCTTTCCAGAAGAAGTGATTCTAATGCACACAATCTCATCAGGACCACAGAATCTTCTTATGGGCCCCGAAGGGGTTTCAAGTACACATGCCTTTGGGGAGAAGAGACATGAAACCATAATTGGAAGGCAATAATACTCTTTCCTTAAAACTCTCTAGTGAAGAAAATGCCACTGTTTCCTTTATTAAGTCATTTGGTGACTTTCACATCCTGTCAGTTAAAAATTTGTCCTCAAATATTCTTCTTACAATTTACTATTTTTCCTGTTCAAATCTCAGTGGATACTGAGCTCATGTTCCTTGCAAATCTACTTTCTAACCTTTTCGTCACTTCTATTTTCCTATAGGTGTTTTTGCACTTTCCTATAATATTGCTAAAACATGTAACAACAAATGATAACACCATGAAAGGGGATTTATTATAAATTTTATCTTTTTTCTTAGGGCATTTGTTTGTTTATCTGTTCATTTTAAGAATATATTAACTACAAAGTCAGAATGGCTATAATCTTTACAGAAGATGATCTCTAGGCCTGGATCTTCCACGATAATACTGGGTAGGTTCAAACCAGCAACCTTTGGGTTACCAGTCAAGCATAGACTGTATGACCCAGGGACCTTGATTTTAGCTTATTCTTAAGAGAGAAAAATAAACTATGATATTTAAGGACAGACTTTTCTCTCAAAATTTGGGAAAAATATGAAAGATTAAATTTCCTCTATTTTCTTCTTACATTCTTTCTGGGTTTTTATATCTATGTATCACTGAAATTTGTTTCTTAGTATTGTCTCTAAACAGTCATTTCCTGTTAAGTACTTGTATAGTGCATTTTTAATCCCAGAGTATATCACTGAGTACCTCTTCCTATTAAATTTACCTAATTGTCTGTTATTTCTGCCTAGTTTACTTTTAATTCTAACTTACAACCTCCAAGGATTTAGCCACATCCTAGTGCCTAGAACAGAAACCTATGCTCAATAAATGTTTGTGCCTGTTTTACTACAGCAAATTTATTTTTTACATCAGGCACTGACTTGAAAATATCTAGTCTTTCAATCTTGCAAGAAAGGTTACTTGGAAAGGGTTAGCCCTCAGTCTTGGAAAAGGTTAGCTTGATTGGGGGGAAAAAAAAGCCCTGGAAGTCAGCAGCTAACTAATCTAGCCAGGCTCAAAAAATATTCAATTTATATAAATCAGTTGACTTGGCCTTGCCCAGTTCCTACACCAAAGAGATAAAAGACAGACTATCCTGGCAACCTCATCTGTATCAGCATATGGGGTCTGAAATCACTCTTCTTCCCAAAGTTTTGTTCTTGTTTTTATTTGCCATCAAGTTGATTTCAACTCCTGTGTTCCCTGTGTGTATCAGAATAGACCTGTGCTCCACAGGGTTTTCAAGGCTTTGACCTTTTAGAAGCAGATCCTCAAGACTATCTCCTGTGGTGCCTCTGGATGGGTTCAAAGTGTCAATCTTTCTGCCAGTAATGGAGTGCTTTATCATTTGTGCCACTCCTGAAAGCTCCTTGAGGAGGACTTTTTCAGTATGGAAAAGATTGAACTTTTGATCCTGACTGGGGTGACCACAGAAGCCCTGGTGGTGCAACGGTTAAGCACTTGGCTGCTAACTGAAAGGTCGGGGGTTTGAATCCTCCAGCAGCTCTGCAGGACAAAGATGAGGTAGTCTGCTTCTGTAAAGATGACAGCCATGGAAACCCTATTGGGCAGTTCTAGTCTGTCCTGAAGGATTGATGTCAGTCAGAATTGACTCGCAAGCAACGGGATTTGGATTTGGGGTGACCACATTATCCTGGTACTCTCAAAATTTGCAGTACTTACGTTTAGCAAAATAGTCAAAAGAATCATAGAGATATCTTATTTGACATGAGAAACCTTTGGAGAATTTTGAACAGAGGGTTGAAATGATCTCACTAACATTTTTAAAGAATCCTTCTGGCTGCTGTGAAGACTATAAAGAAGCCAATTCGGAAGCTAATGCAAGAGACCAGGTAGCAGCTTGGACTAGAACACATATCGTTTTGATAGAGAGTGGTCAAAATTTCATGAGTCCACTGACTGTAGAGCTACCATTCAATATTTAAAATTTTGGCTTCAATTGAATAAGAACTATTCATTCTCTGGTGCTATTACTCCCATCTAGGAAAAGAACAGTGCCTAAGACATTTGACTGCTAACCAGAAGGCTGGTGGTTCAAATCCACCAGCCACTCCTCAGAAGGAAGATTGGGCAATCTACTTCAGGGAAAGGATAGTCAAAGAAAAGCTGATAATCCAAAAGTGGCTCAAAGGATCATAAAAAACAAAACTCAGTAAGGAATTTCCTCTGCTCACTATCGATAAATATCCTCAGATAAGTCTCTATGTGGAAGAGTTCACACATTAGAACAGACCACCAAGGCTAATTGTCAGCCCATTCTCCCCAACTACTCCATGATGTAAGTGACTAAGACAAAACCTAACCAGAACCTAACCAAACCCATTGCAGTAAAGTCAATGTCAACTCTAAATGACTACTGGAGTAAAATTCATCTCTTCCCAATACAATCCAACTGCTGAGCTTTTGGTCCTCACTTAATATTTATAGTATTTACATGTAGCAAAAGAGTCAAAAGAATCATAAAGAGACATATTATTTGACAAGCTTTGCCTTATAAAAATATTATTTTGCCTCAGAAAGAAGGCAAAAATACGTTAGCTGTGAAACTAATTGTGCTAAAATATTTACATGTTTCAATACAAAATAAAATGAGAATTGACAATAGCATCCACTTATAGAATTTGTTTAGTTCTCAGATTACCAGGTACATCAGCATCTAGATAAAGAGAAGATTCAGTTAAAGATGTCAACAATTTCAAATTTAAAAACTATAAAATGCAACTTTGACAAACACTGTCAAACATTTTAATAATTTTAAAACTTGAAAAACATTCTTCAGGGAAACATCAGTGACATGATATTATAGATTGATAAAACTAGAAAACTAATTGAAGCAGAGTAATAATTCAACTTATATTGTTTTATATGGTTGAGCTATTAAATAATAAGGTTTTTTACACTGATGTACATGGATCTGTTTTACTTTTAGAATAAATTTTGTTTTCTAAAAAGTTTTGAACAGAATTACTTTTTCTAAAGTAGCAAGTCTATCAATATAATGAAGATAATTTGTCAGTCAATAAATATTTTAATAACATTATTTACAGTATTTTTAGTGTTCTTTTCATTGTCAAAAATACATAGTTCGATATCGTTTCCGTTACCTAGTGCTGCTCTGACAGGAAAATACCACAAATGGGATGCTTGAACAAACAGAAGTTTATTCTCTTACAGTTTGGAGGCTTTAAGTCCAATTTCTCTGTGCCAAGCTCTAGGGGCTGGGTGAAAGCCCCTCAGCCTTGGGCTTCAGCTCTGCCTCCTGCTCCTGGCCCACTGAAGCTAGAGGCTTTTCTTCATTCAGACAGCTGCTGGCTGCTGAGGCTGCCAAGCCCAAGGTTGACAAGTAAAAAGGCACAGTCCCGATGTTACCAAACCACACAGCAGGCCAATAATTCAAGTCCTTTAGAAGTCCCAGGATCACAGAGCATGGCGGGCTGCTGACCAACGACATGGCTACATGCAAGGTTCAAGCGTGCCATAAGCTAGAGACCATTCCCAAAGTTGCTTCTTATATATGGGAAGCAGACCACATCCCTAAAGCAGCTACTCAGCTGCTCCAATACATTCCACCATGGACTTAATTACCAATCTTCCCATGGGAAATAACTCCATTCAGCTGCCCAGCCACTCAATAAGGCCCAGCCAAGTTGACACACAAACTTAACCACCACAGATATCTATCACAAACATAACTGGAATGTTATCTCTGAGCAGCTTTCCCCAGCCCCTCAACCACAAAACCTTCCTCCAGCCTCCATTAAACCTTTACCAGACCAATATAACAATGTTTACTTGTCAGTCCACAAATATTTAAACGCAACCAATCTTCCTTCCAGGGAGTGGCTGGTGGGCTTGAACCGCCAGCCTTCTGGTTAGTAGTCAAGTATCTTAGGCACTACGCTACCAGAGCTCTTCCACAAATATTTACGTGTTCATTAAGCACCATGCAAAGGCACAGAATCCAGGGATTATATTGTGATGTCTCACTGAGTTTGTCTATTTAGAGGGTGTGAACCAGACACTACAAGCATCCCCAAGGTGAAGGAACCATTTCATGAGTATTTATCTTTCTACTTTACTCACCCTAGTTATCCATCACAAAATTTGACTGATGCATAGGAAATGATCAATAAACATTTCATGAATCAATGATGAAAACACATAGCCTAAAGAAAAAGCAGGCTGGTAGTGTGGGAAAGCCTTGATACATTAGAATAAAAGAAGCATAGCATTCAGTTAACCAAGATTCATTAATCAGCTACTATTCAATGAGAAAACAAAAAGAGGACATCTGGGGATAAGGAAGAAAGATTTTTAAAAATAAATATATGTGGAGGAAGTGTTTGCATCAAGGTAGAATGGAAAGAAAAATGTGTGATTTGACACCACACAGAATCAAGTTAGAGCAAATTATACTATTTTACAACTCCTATAATGAAATAATTTTGACTCATGTCACATCAGCATATGGTGGTCCCAAAGCTTTACTCCATCATTATGGTCAACTCTACTTTGAGGAGGCAGCTCTTCCTCAATTATATTTTGAGTGCTTTCCAAGTTGAAGGGCTCATCTTCTAGAACTATATCAAACAATGTTCCACTGCTATTCATAAGGTATTCATTGGCAAATTTTTCATAAGTAGACTGCCAGGTTGAAGTGTAAATTTGAATAATAGTAGTAGTAAATGGTCTTCCTCATAGGCGTATGGACATTATCTTATCACTGACAGCAGTGTACTTCATCTTGAAATGTTCTTTTTGACAATGAATCTGACATCATTCCTCTTCGATATGTCATTCCTGGCATAGTGGACCATATGACTGTCTGATTCATATGGCCGATACCACACCATTACAGCTCACTAATGCCTAGGATATTGTCCTTTATGCATTCCATTTCATTTCACCAACTTTCAACTTTCCTAGATTCATACTCTATACATC